CAGTCATACAACTTGCTGAGCTCGACGATGATCCATTCCTCCAGCACGAGTCTCTTCCGCAACTCCTTCCTGTCGTACTTGACCGTCACTTTTCCCTGCTTCTTCTGCACCGGGTCCTCACCGTTGATGGGGCCGGAGCTCACGCAGCCCACACCGGGGGGCGCACCTTGGAAGAAGACGCGGCCTCCTGCGGTGGGCAGAGGGGCACTGGTTTCGGTGCTGGCGGCCGACATAGCGGGATGAGAGGGCTTGTTGCTTGGATATATGTGTTAATGAAGTGGATAGGAAGGGGAGGGGGAGAAGAGAAAGACTGCGGAGCTGCACGGCAGACAGGAGAATGTGCAGCAGCTTTTAAACAGTTGCTATTTAAAGCGCAGCGCCGTAGAAAGCAGAGAGGGCGGAGCGAGCGCTGCAAGAAATGCTGGATGGTAGACGCTGGGTTTGAGGTGAAATGAAAAATAATGACTCCAAATAAAAAAGAAATAGTGGAATATGGAGGCGACAATGGGGCAGAAACGCAAAGGAGTTTTTGATAAACCACAGGGACGTCGTATTGGCAGGTGACCGTGTTTAAAAACGAACATATTCAAAAAAAAAAAAAAAAAGTCCGGTTAACAGACATAAATCATTTTTTGCAGTGAATCTTTCGATTTCCCTCAATGGTTTTTATTAGCGCACCAGCGTTATTGACAGCTGCGCCATCAAGAGGGGGTAAGGAGAACAATTTGCTTCCCATTTCAGACAATCCCATTATTTGCAGGCGCATATGTCAACGAACACCGACAAGTTTATATTCCAACAATTTAGTTCAAAATCTGAAACTCAGATCTGTTACACAGAGTGATCTATGTTACAAGTTTTTAACTTGCAGCTCACGAAAACTCGAAAGCATAATAAAATTCAAGACATTCTATTTTAAATTTTGTCGCTCCAGAGATTATTAGTGCCAAAATGAATTGTTCAAGTGTTCTTGTTTGTAGCTACAAACAAAATCTCAGTATTCTTATTAACATTCTTCTCATTTAGAGAAAAAGAAAAACTTGGCGAAAGAATTTTTGCGCCATCTATTGTCTGAATTAATCCATAACTCTATGAGAGATCAGGTTTTATTACTGTTTGAATTGTTCGTCTCTGAGAGAGCTTTCAATAAGTTTTCCTTAATTAAATCAAATCTCATGGCTCAAAATAGATACTCTCCTCATTTTTGGAACTGAAGTCAAATAAATGTAGTTAACATTCAGGAATGGCATACATTTGGTCAACAAGTAAAGGGTGATGGACCCCTGGAATTTTCACAGATAGACTTTCAAGAAAGATGGAGATAAATTAAAAATCTTAAAATACATAATGTAGGTACAACACAGCATTTATCTATCATCAACCATATTTCTAAATCTTTTGTTTTCATTTTGTTCTAAAGACCACAAACCTTTTCTCAAAACCAGACTTTGGTGGGTTCCATAAACTACACTTATTCAAAGTGTGTTGTTCAAAAAACTAGAATTTTTTCCCATTACAGTTTAGTTTGTTTATTTATATACTATCAATGCACAATAAATATCTTGAGGCCCTTTTACAAAAAAAAAAGCCAAATTAATTAGATTCAATTCAATTCAATCACACTAACAGATTCAAAGGCAGTTGCATTTGAATTTGAACACACCTCTTTCTTAGAAGTTTCTGAGATTTCCAAATCTGTTTGTTTCAAAACCAGTCAATAAAACATAACAGAATTTATTGCTTATATACCCAAACACTTTTATTTCATTTTCTTCAAGAAAATGAATATTTTATTGAAGGGTTTTGTTAAGTGTTTCAATTTGCATGTACTATTCAGCTTATAGCACAGGGAGAACAAAGTGGAACATTAACCTCTGAACAGGACTTTGAAACTTAAACTTGCAGACTTTTATGTTGTTTTTTTCTTTTTCTTTTTTCTTTTTTTGCATGACCTGGTGAACCTTGGAAATGTTTTTTCTACTTCAACAGAGTGCCAAGCTCTTGTGCCTTTTCCAATGTTCTGACTCAGCATAAAGGCCCACTTCAGATAACAGACCAGTGTTTTATAACACAAGGTTTGCACTCAGCACAGGTACAGTGGTTCCACTCCCACTGGCAGCTGCTCAGTCAGTCATGGCTCTCCTGTCTGTACTCACACCCGTCCTCGCTCTGGTTCTGTGCATGGTGGCCGGCTTTTTGTTTCTGAAATCTCGGGCACCAGAGACCAGTCCGGGAGTAGCAGGGCAAACCAAGGGGCCCACAAAAAAGGAGTTCCGACCCTGGGCCGATCAGGACTTGCAGGATGACACCGAAATAACAAGAGGAGGTAAATTCCAGTATCCTTTTTACTAGTTAACAAAAAAATAGGATTTTCATGTTTTGCGCTTGCACCGGATGCAAAAAGGTTTTACATAAAATAAAGTAAAAAGTTGTTTATTTAGATTGCCGGAATAACAAAGGAATGTCATAGGCATCACTTTTCATTTCTTTGACATAATTTCAGATGACGATGAATGGGTGGAGAACAACGAAGAGGAAGACCTCGCACATGTTCCCTATTCACCACAGCGCTACCCGGAGGAGACCATGTTGCAGAGGGCCAAGGATTTTTACTCCTTGATGAGCCAGAGGAGATCTGTCAGATTCATCAGCCCCGAGCCAGTCCCACGAGAAGTCATCGATAAGGTCATCCTCACTGCAGGCACGGAACCTATCAGTTTGGCTTTTTTGCTGCATTTGAGGATCAACAAGGGCCTTCATAAACTGGGATGTTTAAATCTCACTGGTTTGTTTTTAAATGTGCTCATCAGCTTGTTCTATCTCTGTTTAGGGACAGCGCCAAGTGGTGCTCACACGGAGCCCTGGACGTTTGTTGTGGTGTCAGACCTGGACACAAAGCACAAGATCAGACTTATTGTGGAAGAAGAAGAGGAGGTGAACTACCGCCAGAGGATGGGAGATAAGTGGGTCCATGATTTGGCCAGACTAAGGTGAACATATTTACTTACTCCGCATCTTTTTAGCGTTACAATTATGATTAAAAGGACAAGATATGCCACATAAATCACACTTGTTTCTGCAATACAGGACAAACTGGATTAAGGAATATTTGGATGTTGCGCCATACCTGATTCTCATTTTTAAACAGACATATGGGATTCTACCAAATGGCAAGAAAAAGACTCACTACTACAATGAAATCAGTGTCTCTATATCTTGTGGAATCCTCCTGGCTTCTTTGCAGGTTAGAAATACAAAATATTCTATGAAATACAAATGACACTAAATGAAATGAAAACCTGTATTTAATTTTTTTTCCAAATGCACAATTATGTCCTCTGAACATTTTTCCAAAAACACAGTATAATCTCAGACAAAGAATCTGATTTTTCTGTCTGTCAGAACGTGGGCCTAGTAACCGTCACATCGACGCCCCTAAACTGTGGCCCTCAGCTCAGGCTCCTCCTCAAACGGCCGGCCAACGAGAAGCTGCTGATGCTGCTTCCTGTGGGTTATCCTGCAGCTGACGCCACTGTGCCAGATTTGAAACGGAAGAATCTGGAGGAGATCATGGTGGCCATCTGAACAAGTCAGAGAATATAAAATGTGTAAAAGTGTTTAAATGTCTTTTGAAAAACAAAATACTTTTAAAATTCCAAAGCCACTTATGGCGGCAAAGAAAAAAAAATAAAATTGGTTTAAGTTGGTATTTTTTGTATCCGTAGCAGTTTAAATGGCACAAAAAAAAAGATATTAATGTTGATATATATTCTCCACTCATGAGTACTCTCAGTCATCTATGTAGGAAACTATATGGTATTGCTCTCCTATTTTTTCTTTTTGTTTGTTTGTTTAATAAACCAGTAAGTAAGAAGTGTGTAATACTTAATTCTGATTTGTTGCTGAGATCCAACTTGTTGTGATATGACTGACATCATTTAGATGTGACCACTATCAGACTTTATGTACAGTCTACAGCCCTGAAGTGAAACGCCTGCACAGAAGATGATACGATGTCACATGCAACACATTGCTTGCAGAAGGTGTACTCTTCTTTTGCACTTTGTTTTACATTTTTTGCTCTTGTCACATTTCAGTGTGGCAAAGTTGGATGAAATGCAACATGATGGTTCAGACTTAGGTTGCACTGAAAAACATTTGATCTGAATTACATATGAAAAAACTGGACTTAGATTTGTGCATATTATGTGTGTTCATACTATCCAAAAAATATTGCCAAAAATGCCAGATTTGTTCTACTTTTCCCTGTTATATAAATGTAGCAATACAAATACACACACTCAAGGAACATTTAATGAGGCTGATCAAACTTACATGCATGTTTTTGGATTGGGAGATGAGTATCCAAGAAACAACATATAAATGCACTTAAAGAACATCAAAACTAAGTCCAAAAAGGCAAAAGCTGGACCAGAAAACGAGCCATTAAAACCCTGTCTGTTAACAATTAAATAGAGTTGAATGTGAATAACAAAACACTGAATGAAATATTGCCTTTCTGTGCCTTTGGTCACAGTGTGAATGTGAAGCAACAATTCACCAATACTAGCTCTAAAGGATATTTTTAGATTTGAAAAGTGAAGCAAACCTTTATCTGTAGTGTAAATCTAAGACATGATCACAATCCATAAACAGTAACTTTATTATCCGACATAATTTAGCCATCTAACTGTGTTGTTGCCTATTTAAAATCTATTTCAAGCTGTGCATAAAATGTTATTTTACTGTTTTTATATAAACTAGATAGAAGTCACACACACACACACACACATATATATATATATATATATATATATATATATATATATATATATATATATATATATATATATATATATATATATATATATATAATATTTTTTTACACATATCTGACTAAAATATAGGACAGAAAAAAAGCATGTGCATTTTTATTTACACATATTTAACTAAATATAGGACAGCGCCCAACATTTAAACAGGGACCTGTGGGGGGAACCAATGCGCTGTCGTTGTGTGTGTCCTGCCCTTACTGAAGAGAAGAAGAGAAGCCACATTGCGCAGGCGTACACCACGTACACCGAGGCATCGAGCTCTCTCGGCTTGATGCTAGCAGGCTAGTCTACCTAAAGTCTGTTACATTTTGGGGCTCTGAGGGGGATAAACACGCAACGGTGGGGAACAAGGGCGACCCCAGCGCCGCTTCGAAATGGCCGGACAACAGTTCCAGTACGATGACAGCGGCAATACGTTTTTCTATTTTCTTACGTCCTTCGTCGGACTTATTGTGATCCCGGCCACATATTACCTGTGGCCCCGGGATCAGAACGCTGGTAAGGCCCGGTTGTTGGCTCTCTGTTGTCTTATATCGCTCATTAACCCAGTAACCCTGCCTGGACGAATACTAGATGCTATGGAAACATATCAACTTGTAAAAAAAAAAATGCATTAATTGATATTTTCTTATTTTTACAGCCAGGAAATATACCATTATACAAAACAGGAAGCTAACAAATGTCAGAAATATGATGCACATGTCTTTTTATCCTGTCTGTTTTGGCATACAAACACCAGACTTTATAGCCCGTGTTTGGATGTAATCATGAAGCCAATTCCTTATTTAATGTAAAGCTGCAATTTAGTAGTAGTGTTGATTTCTCAGAATCTCAACTTTATCTTTTTGAAAGTCTTATTCTAGAGTATTCTTATCCTATTCCTGCTGTCTGTTTGTGAACCACAGAGATGTTCTTACGTAACCAAATCTGACAAAGTTCACCAGTTTGTTGCTGAGTTGCAGTCCTTGTATATTGATGCCTAGAATGATCCATTCTGTTAAATTAAATCTCACCTGAAAGGAACCTATACCTCTGTGTTTCACATTTCACCTCTTTTTGTTATCTGATGTAGGTCAGGCAGTGTTATCATTCAGATAGTGCTGATGTGTCCATAATCGCTGCCTCTCCATCTTCCTTTCAGAACAACTGCGTCTGAAGAGCCTGAGGAGGGTACATGGCCGGTGCCTGTGGTATCGGCTCAGGCTGATGAAGTCTCAGCAGAGCATCGTCCCGACACTAAAGTGAGTGCAGACAGCTTGGTTTGACCGTTTTTTTAAGATGAGCTAAAAGCCTGACGCACTGCAGGACGCCACTTCTGATTGGTTTATGGAAGCGTTTTGTAGCACTATGGCCACATTTTGGGGCATTTGGCTCTTCAGATCATTTTACTTGCTGAGAACGTCAGTCAGATGCAACAGTAACTATGTGGGGAAGAAAGTTCTCATACGTGAAAACCCAAGCAACACTAACAGGAGGGGAATCTCTGTCTTACAATTGGATCAAACGTATTCAGTTCTGGAGCAGAGGTCGAGACTTTAACACCTTACGTTTGAAATGCTTATTATTTTGAATCTCCACCTTTAGAAACCTCGTCACCCAAGCGCCTTAATAAAACTTTTCAAAAATTTTAAAAGTGTCCTTTTTCTCTTGTCTGTATAACATCAGATGTTTTTCAGTCAGTCAGTTTAAATTTTTTTCTATTTACTTCTAAGCGATGATGTGTTGATATAAAGTCCCCAGTGTAAAATACCCTTTGTTGGACCTTGGTGTTGTCTTTTTTGTCTCTCTCTAAAGACCTGCATATGGTCGGATGAAGTGTGTGTTTTTGTACTACTGTGCAGTTCAGCCACCGAAAAATGAAAAGCCAAGTTCTGAAAATGCCTTTTTGCTCTTTTAAGAAACCATTCCCTCTTATCACGGCCAACCACCCGCTGGAGAGGTTTTTTTTTTTTTCGTGCTAAGTGCATTTTCTTCACAGCTGGTGACGTTTTGCTAAGTACCCATTCTATGACTTTTACACTCCACACTTATACAAATATCCTCCCTAATAACGAGTGTGTGTGAATGTTGTTCTTTGGTGCTGTTCGCTCAGCGTGTCAATATTTTTGTGATGCGTGTTAAAAGGTCAGGCGTTACACGGCGTAGGCTGCTCGCCGAGGGGGAATTATATGAATGACCTTTTATTTTGTTTAAATCTCTCGGTGATGTTCGCCGTCTGTCTAAACATGTTTTGTTTCCCTGACATGTCCACTGATACTCTTCTCCCCGTGTCTTCTCAGAGCTGTTTATGTTTATTCTCTCTGAGCTTTTACAGCAGCTTCTCAACAGTTTGTCTTCTGCCGCCCACATTAAACTTTTCCTCTGTCATTACACTCGCATCCTGTTTACCCTCTAAAATCTAATATTTGTTTTTTTTTTAGGATTTTTGTGGGATACTGATTCGGCCTGCATGTTTCCAAGTGGCTTCTCGTTACAGTATCACTAGATACAAAATTAATTGAACTGTTGTAGCCGACCGTTGTGATCAGAGTGTTAAAGTTGAACTCTGCATGCCAGTAATGTATGTGGCCTTTTGGATCAAGTCACATTCTCACAGATGGCAGCTACCAATGTGGTCACAGAGAGAGTTGGAGACATCAGAAGATACGAGAACAACACGACTAATGTCATCATCATTGCTACGTTTAGCAGCAATGTTGCTGTTGTGCAGCGTTCATGAGTGCCGATGAAGATTCACGGCGTGCTGGTCTGTTTCTTCGAGTTGAACAGTCGCCTCACTTCTCTGCTTGTCACTGCTTCACAATCTTTATAGGAAAACGTTCTGCGTATTTGTGCCGTCACCCATCTGAGCTGGTGTAAACTAGTGATCCGTTGTTATGGTAACAGATTCTGGGCATATACTTTCTTACTTTTGCCATTGTCATGGTAACAAGTTCAACATCTATCTGTAAATGACAAAACAATAAGGATGCCAGAACTTTTGTGACCTTCTGCTTAGTAGAGATGAATCGATTGTAATTGGTTTTCTATTTCTATCTCCTGATGACAGGTTTCCTCTCCGATGGGGAAAATTGCTGCTAGGGATGTTAAGGAGTGACTTTTGAGTCGAAAAACAAATTTTTGTAGGAGATTTGTTGAATTCAGAAGCGTTGCCTTTACACATACATGTGCTCATTTTCTTTGTCACTTTTCAATTTATTATCTGCTATAATGCGTCTTTATACGTTTAGAGCAGCTCCTCAGTTTGGTCTCAAGACTGTTTGTTAGCGTTGATCCAGAACGGATCAGTTTACTCCATTAATATTTGGACCAGTGAGTGAAAAGGAAAGAGACTGTGAGATCCTTATTTTCCTATTTTCTCAGAAGACAAGAGCACATCTCTTGTGACCAGATTACATTTGTATCATCTGGAGAGACGAAAGACCCGTTGGGGATTTGCGGAGATCTGTAGGATTCTTTCGTTCACCAGTGGAGATTCAGTTATTTATTCCAATGACAGGGTGAACAATTGAGGGACAAATAAAATGCTGTACAGCTTGACTAAAACTGTAAGATTTAAAAATTCTCACCTAATCCTCTGTCACAATTGTTACTACCCTTTTTCAGCATTTCACCAACTCTAGTTTCCATCCGTCTATCCCGACAGCATGAAATTGGTCAAATAACAAAAAAAAAGGGAACCATGCTTATTCTTTCTAGGAATAAACAAGGCTTTGATGAGTGATTTGTGTTTGATCTTTTTTTTTTTTTTTTTTTTTTAGAAAGTTGCCTTGCTTTTTGGGTGGGCTGTGTTCCTCCTGCTAGCCTACAAGGTGTCCAAGCTGGACAGGGATTACCAGGAGTACAACCCTTATGAAGTCCTCAGCTTGGAGCCGGTAAATTCCATCCCAACAATTAGTTTGTCTTTTTCACAATCACTTTAGCGATTAGAGAGTTATTGCAGCATCCAGAAAATCAAAGCTAGGTCTGTCTTGAGAAGTGAACATCTCGACGTGAACTCATTGGTGTGATTGTGTTCTCGGCTCCAGGGTGCGACGGTGCAAGCAATTAAGAAGCAGTATCATCTACTGTCGCTCAAGTACCACCCTGACAAAGGTGGCGATGAAATCATGTTTATGAGAATTGCCAAAGCCTATGCTGCGTAAGTAGATTTAAAAAAAAATAATAATTTAATCACTTGGTGATTTAGTCAAATCAACATTGTCAGTGTTTTGTATATGTTGAACATATTCTGCTTGTTTCTGCAGTTTAACCAATGAACAGTCGCGACAGAACTGGGAACTGTACGGCAACCCAGATGGTCCATCAGGTAAGTTAAAGCCACCTGTGTCGACCCCAACCTTTGCGTTGTTCTGCCGATACCCACTACGTTAGAAAACTCCTGGTTGCTGCGTTTCTTCCAGAAGTTGTTTTATTTATTTATAACAAATGCGTTTTATTTTATGCCATACCACAAAATGTCCAGCGAAGATGGCGAGCTTTTTAAAACTGAAAACGTATGGATTCACTGCCTCCTCCAGCGTGACAAAAATAAAGGGCAGCTCTTGGCATTAGGTCATTTACTACAAAAACTTTTAATAATAATTGCATAATGTTACATATGAGGTTGAACTGTAAATAAAGGAACACTGGCCATTGTTTGGTCATTAGTGAAATCCTCAAATAATAGACTGTAACATTTCCATGCTAATTAAGAAGTACTTATTTATTAACTATATGCTTTATGGTTTCAGTGCACTATTGTTTCACTTGGATAGTAACATCATTTTCACAATTTGATTAAATTAAAATAGAATAAAGTTAAATGGGAATGGCTGCCTGCCCAAAATTTGCACATTACAAAAACTAGCCTGACATTTATCCAGTTAAATATTGAGTTTTGCTTTTCCATTAGCAATAATTCCATGGAAAATGTACTAGACAGACTACAGCTTTAACTTCATAGAGTGTTTTTGAAAATAAACCTGGCAGGAGGTGTAAAAACCCCCAAAACAAAAAAAAAACAATTTTTTCTGCTTTGGTCCATTTTTTCTCTCCTCTCCCAGCCACCAGCTTTGGTATTGCCTTGCCTGCCTGGATTGTGGACCAGAAGAACTCCATGCTGGTATAAATTTAGAGCTAGAAATGACACTTTTTTTTTTTTTTTATTCGATTCAACCGAATGTCGCACAATAACCTACACTAACAGAGACTCTTTTTTTGTCTCCAGGTGTTGTTGGTCTACGGTCTTGCCTTCATGGTCATCCTTCCTGTAGTTGTGGTAAGCTTTAAGCACAATTTCTTTTTAAGTCAGGTTTTGTACCAACTATGATGTTCTTCTAAATCACTTTGCTTCATTTTTTGCCTGCTTGCTTTAGGGCACATGGTGGTACCGCTCGATCCGATACAGTGGAGACCAGATCCTCATCAGCACCACACAACTTTTCATGCATTTTATATACAAAACGCCAAACATGAACATGAAACGTGAGTTTAATCTTGACTGAAAGTATTTTCACATACATTGGTCCTTTTTTTTTTGTTAAACATTTTTGAGGCTCTAGTATGCTGTTAGATTTTTTTTTAACATTTAACTTTAGCTGTGTCACATAATAGCATGTTTGTGTCATCCAGGGTTAACCATGGTCCTGACTGCAGCCTGTGAATTTGACCCTCGCAGCAATAAAGACGCAACCATAAGACCCACAGACAACGTCGAAGTGCCGCAGGTAGAAACGCATCTTTTCTGGAGATTCAAACACAGTCAGGAAAAGTTTTTGGTTTCTGGGCAGAACTTTAATGTTGTTTTTTTTGTTTTAGCTGTGTGCAGAAGAAATAAACTTTTACTTGCTTTGGCACCTCCTCGTGCATGTTACAGTACATGGAGCTAGGCCTGTCGCGATAAGCGATAAATCAATTAATCACACGATAAATTAAACCTATCGACCTCATTTTAATTATCGGCTTTATCGTCTCTTCCTGCCTTTTCTTCTTTCTCTTGATGACACTGAATGATAAAAGGCTCAACTCCGGTGCTCTCCACTGACCCTCCCTTCCTCATTTCCTTAGTGCAATGTCCAGCGCACACGACACAAGTTGTCAGCCGACCATCGGCCCATTTTCAAAACCTGAGAGACCACAAATTAGCCGACAGAAATCCTAGGTATAACGGTTCGATCGGGTTCGATCGTGCTGTGTGGTCTTCAGCCACACAGCCATTATTTTGGACTTGTAGCCCAAAATAATGGCTACAAGTCCAGTTAATTAATTTTAAAATCGGGCATTAATCAATGCTTTACTAGAATCTACCTGTGATGCACGTGGCTAGAGTCAGCGTAAAGTCCTGACTGAATGAAAATCATTATAACCCATTCATGTCACGTTAACGAAGAACAGCTGAAAACTTACCGGGTTTATAGCAATTTGGCTCCAACTCCTCCCCTTGTCATTTCTATATTCTTTGCACGAAATGTTAAATAAATATTAATGTTGTTTCCACATATCATTTCTGTTGTCCGCCGGACTCCGGGTTGCGCCGTGACAGCTGTTTGGGATCCCCCTCCGTAATTTCCCCTCAGAAAGCAGGAGGAGAATCCCCGCTCTCTGATTGGCTACCTGTCACATTCAGCGTTAAGCTCCCAGTCGGGGAAAACCCTCGATTTAGATCGGAGCCACGACGATCTAAATCACTTCAGGATGATCGGTTATGAAATCACCAGCGAC